ACTGCATGTTCTTTTACTCTACCTCTGTTTCTCAGGATGTTTCAAGGTTGGGATTCTCTTAGAAACCCCTCGTAGTATTTTCATGGAAGGCTTTGCTTCATGGAGAAGGGGAAGAGAACAATACCTTAATATTTGGCATAATATGATGTTGTCACTTTATACCTAGTTAGTTTCCGAGGTTGTGGTATCTGCAGTAAGGATTGCTGGCGTCAACCTTGGCAGGGCAAGGACCTCGAACCCATGCTTCTCTTTTTGGAGTCCTGGGAGAAATTGCTACCCTCTTTTGTCCTTCATGCCATCTGGATACATCAGTCTTTCCCAAATTGAAGGATACAGTTGTCTTGTGGAAACCTCGCCTGGACATTATTCCCATCTATGTGTGGGTGCTTCCATGGCTACCACTATTGGGATACAAGTTGGAGGAATTGTATCACACAATACGTTTCAAGTTCAATAATGTTCTCAATGCATGGCCCCCCAGTTATGCCTATGCCTATACCATACTTTCACCGTGGAAGAAGGTGTTTGATTCGGCCAATTAGGGAAAGCTTATGCATAGCTTTATAGGAGTCAAGTTGCATCTTGTCCTACAAGACTTCCAAGTGAACCCTGCAGATCAGAGACTTGATCACTTTAATTGGGTGACGAGTTAGCTTTTGCTATTCCAATTCTTCTAATGGTAGATATGATGGAGAAGTTTTTCTTCACCAAGTGGTTACAAGTTTTGTATCACTGGTTATGTTCGAACCTGAACTTTGAAGAGGTTTTGAATTGGTATAAAGGTTGAAAAGAACTCTTTCCTCCGGTATCAGCTTAATTGTGGTCTTGACATGATGAATCGACCTATTAAGGGTATGAAGGTGGTCCAACCTGGTTTGAAAGAGAATATTAGCTAACTTAGGATGCTTGAGTAAGGCAATTTGAGGCACAACAGAAAGCAGCAGCAACACAAGCAAACTTGGGTGGCATTGCTCACATTGATAGGATTGATAATGAGATGATCTTGAAGATGGTATTGAAGCCCATGCGCAGCAGCATGGTCTGCTATTTAGGACTAAACTTGGGCGGATGCATAATGGTCACCAGATATATGGCTTTGGTAATGTAAGCATAATAGTCGACTCTCTAATCAAAAGGTATATGCCCAAACAGAGGAAATCTGGTCTCTTGTATCCCTTGAAGGGTTACTTGACATGCAAAATAGTTCTCTTACAAGAAGACGCTAAGATTTAGAAAGGCCTTTGAAGAGTTGAAGGGATGTAAGGTGACTTTGTGCTGAGAATGAAGCTAGTGGATTAAGTTTTATGTGCAATAGGCGTTGTTCATGGATCGAGAACTTCAAAGATTAGCTTGTTGCTAGCCGGAATATCTATTGTACGGATTGATACTACAAACTCTTAAGTTTTTCATTCATTAGCTTAGTTTTGCATTTGAGTTTTCTCCAGTAACCAGGTTGTATAAATAATTCTTGTTGTTATACACATTTTCAGATTTTGTTGGATATCTTAAGCATTACCCCTCCCCCATTCTGGTCTTACTGTTGTTTAATTTACACCCTCATTGAGCTGAGAAGGGAAAACACCGTATCGTCCATTATGTTCCGGTAGCCTATATGTTGCTACTACACTTGACCCGGAACTTCCAGGGTACCTCCTATTAAAACAATATCAAGTAGAATGATACAAGTGGTTGTGATTTTCTTTCACTTGCTTCTTGTAAATCTTGAAGGGAATGAATATTCAAAATCCACTACTAAAAATATATCAAGGAACAGCTTATTGTCTGGACTTAGTATGGTTGAATTGGAATCCGAAGTATCAGTTTCTTTGGGGATTTGCTCTGCTTGTTTTATTTCAGGAACAACATCCAATTTCTTTCATTAAAGCTAGTGAGGCGGAAATTCAGCTAGTGAAGAGTTATGTTCCGCATGAATTAAGTTATATGAGATTGCTTTACCGGTCTTCCAGTTTCTGTTGACGAAAAGGTTTGCCAGTGTAGGATTTCTCACTCTAGACGTATGCAGAGAACTAATGCAGATGGTTATCCACTTCTTTTCCTCTTCTTATCAACTCTGAAAAGATGTAAGATGTGCATAGGGAATCCCATGAAAGTAGCTACATCTTCTCATATGCAAATTTATGTAGGAAGTGATCATCTTCAATATGGTCTAAAATGATAGCTTTTACTTGATTTTAATTGATCTAGAGAAAAAGAAAACATAATTGCCACAATCCAATTAGAGCCACAACCCAGCCTACCCTTTTTCAAGCTTGTAGCTTGTAATAGCTCCCTATTCTACTGTATTATTAGTTATAACTAAATTACTTTATTTTAATTATAAAATTTGAGGTTGAGATTAGTTCATGCTCTTCATATCTTATTTTTGTGTCGCCTCGCTTCCTAGTCTTCATCCTCATAAATTTTTTTTTCCTCTGGCTTCTTCCTCCTTTTTCCTTAGAATTTTATGACAAAAGGGAAATGGTGTTTGGGTGCGGATTTACAATTGTTTGGTGAATTAATTGGAGTTTTTGGGTGCAGGTTCACAATCATTTGGGTTGGTAGTTTGCAAAAAATTTATGTTTGAATATTCGTTTCGCTTTAGCATTCCACTGTCATTGATCCAACTTGACCCTTGTTTCTTAAAATCAGGACTAGTGGCGGACCTATTAAGACACAAGGAGGTGCTGCACCTCTCCTCGCCGAAAAATCCATAAGAGGTGCTGCATATTGCACATCTGCTCAGCTTTGGAGTTGCAACGTAGATGCTCAGCTTTGTTTATGGGGGCTGCTATGCGCTTCTTTTTGTTTTTTTATATATATAAACCTGGCCAAAATGACGTCGTTTTGGACCAGGCTTTAAAAAAAAAAAAAAAAAAAAAAAAAAGGGACCTGCTGCCATTTCGTGGGCTTTTAATAAGGCCTTCATAATTCCTTATTTAAATAGGATTGAGAGTTCTTTTTATTTAATTAGGCTTTAATAGGGATGCAAATATAATAAGACGTTTTCATGATCTCGTCGGCAACAATTGTAGGTTAATTGTAATGTTATTTTTTTCAATTAATTATGAATAATATTAGTATTGTTTAAATTATAAGGATATTTAATTGTTTATCCTTTTTTTCTTTTTCTTTTGTTAGCTTTTAGCCTTTAAAAATTGCACATTCGCTCAAAAATTCCTAAGTCCGCCAATGATCAAGACCATCATATTTATCGAGAAGCCAACATAATCACTAGTAGTCTCGCTTATTTAGGACATGAGTATCTAGAACCTTGTATTTGGTTTGACAATTTCCCCTTTCATGTTTACCAAAAAATACTGTTTAAGATGTATAGTAAGATATATATGCCGAAGATTTTCGTTATAATTTTTTTTTTATTAAACAAAAAGAAGAAGTGTTTAAGGAGAAAAACTTTCATATCTCTTGCCTTCTCTCTCCATCTCTCTCCTCTGTTACTCATGTGATGTTATGATGCAAATAAGGAAGGGACAGTGCAACAAGAGTAAGTTATTTTTGAAAAAGGAATAACGATGGGGTGGAGGGTGGAGGAGCTCATGTCATGGCTAGCACTGGCAGCCCTTTATCTTCTCCTCATAATGATATTATTGACATAGTTGTTTTTTTTTGGTGTGAGACACTAAAGATAAGCGAGGCTAAAATTGCGCCTTATCTAGTTATTCTATGTAGTTAGTTGTGCCATCATTTCGGTCAATTAAATTTATATACCAAAAAGAGAAAACAACAATCACTTTCCCTGTGGCCACTGCCAGTGAAAAAAGTGTCGTCACTTTATTATCAATGCCAAAATAAAATTAAAGAATTTACAAAACATATTAATGATGTTTTTCTTTCTCCAAGATAAAAATCTAAAAGACAAAAAGGAAACAATGCATTAATTAAGGAGTGCTGCGTTTGGTTCTCAAAAAAACCAACAAAAAAACATTTCCAACTTTGGAAAAAAAAAAATTAAAATAAAAACTGAGGAAAAAACAAAAAGCAGTGTTTCCCAATCTCAAAATTGGATCGCATCTCATTCATTGTCGCAGTGACCGACCATGTAAAGTGAAAAAGGCCATGTCTTCACCTTCACGATCGACCCCGAGTGAAATGACGACAATACCCTAGATGGTTAACGTTGGGGATTGCCCTTTTGGCCTTTGGGTTTGGCATTGATTTGTAGTGGGAAAGGGAATGGAAATAAAGCGTGGGATGTCGGGCCGAGTCAGAGGGAAGTGGGCCACGTCATCACCGACTTATAATTTAATATAATTTCTATTCTTTCTCAAGAGTTTTTGGAAACCTACCGACCTGTGCGGCTGTGCTGTGAGTAGAGTGAGCTTGTTTTTCTCTCTTTTTTCTTCATAATTATTAGATTATACTTACGTGTCAATCAAATATCAAAACACAACAGAACCAGTAAATATTTCGAATTGAGAAACTAAAGTTAAAAAAAAAAAAACACAGCTGTGTTTGGTGTTTGGTGCTTGTGTTTCAAAAGGTAACTTTCCAGATCAGAATGGAATCATAATTCAGAAAGAAAGAAAGCAACCCAAAGACACTTGGCATCTCACTATTTATTATTCCATTCCATGTTTTTTTAACTTGTTATTATGAATTTAATAATGAATTGAAAGCTTAAATAATAAATTTATTCGAGTACTAGCATCCGTGTAGTGTATGAGTTTAGTATTACTATCGTCTCTATTGAGAGTATTTACTTCCTCAAGCAAGGTTCTGAATTCGAGTCTTATCATTCGTGTAATGTGTGTGAATTTAATATCACTATTGACATGCTCAATAACAAAGATCTTTAAAAAATTAATAATAATAAATTGAAAGCTTAAATAACAAATTTATTCAGCTGTGTTTGGTGCCCAGATATTATTGTAGATACAGAGAGAGAGAGAGAGAGAGAGAGAGAGAGAGAGATCTTTTCAAAAATCAAACTGCGTGTCAAAATCAAATTGTAGCCGTTAGGCTTAAATCTCCTCCTCAAATTGTCTTTCTCTTTTCTGGAGAATTGAGAACTGAGACAGACAGCACTGCACCCACAAATTGGGTTTTGGGTTACTTTTGTCCTTGTTTGTCGTTAAGCATTTGGATTTTTTTGTTCCCATCTGCGAAACTTTCATTATCGTTTACAAAATCTCCCATTTTTACTCTGCTGGGTTTTCATATTGCTCTGTTTTTCTCTGCTCCAATAAAAGCACAACACATTGCTGCTGTAGCTGTTGCTGTTGCTGCTGCTAATCGTTTTGGTGGAATATAAGGTCGATCTCAGCTTTGTCGACTGGGAAGAGTCGGTGGCTCGGTGGTGGGTGCCCTTTGGCGGTCACGATTAAACTTGTGGTAGCTTTATACTCTTCACAAAAGTTATTTATTATTTGTATCTCATTCTCTTCAGCTTTCACTTGTTTGGGGTACTTTTAATTTTTCATATTAAATATTGAATTGGATTAGATTGGATTGGATTGGATTTGGGTTCTCTTTCTCTCACTTTCTCCATCTCCACTTTCGTGGTCGTGGAGATAAATAAAGGAAATAAGATCACTGGAATTTCGCCGACTCTCCCAACCCACCTGCAACCTTTTTCCCTCTTTTTTCTCTTCAGTTACCAGAAAAGAAGCTACCTTCTTATTTTTTCTTTTTTATAAAAACTTTCTCTTTCTATTAACATCATAGTAAGTAAACCCTTTTGCTCCCTTCCTTTGTTTTTTTTTTAAATTTTATAAAACCCAGTATTTTCCCGGGAACTTGATTCATTTTCCTAGGAAAAGAAAGAAAGGCAGGCAGCGGAAAGATGGAAGGGGTATGGTTTCCCAAGTGGGTCTTTCTTTTGGTTGTGTTGGGTTGCTTGTGTCTCTCTGGTTGTGTTGTTGAAGGTCTTGGTGTGAATTGGGGAACCATGGCAACCCATGAGTTGCCGCCTGAGACAGTGGTTCAGATGTTGAAGGACAACGGGATTCAGAAGGTGAAGCTTTTCGATGCAGATGAGTCTACTATGAGTGCCTTGGCTGGCAGTGGTCTTGAGGTCATGGTTGCTATACCTAATGACCAGCTTGCTGTCATGGCCACCTATAAACGGGCCAAAGAATGGGTCCGCAGGAATGTTACCCGCTACAATTTCAATGGAGGAGTTAACATCAAGTATGTCGAGCTTACATTTCTCAAATTTGTAAACTTTTTAAAATCATGATGATTTTGATTGTTGTTACTGCTCTTTGATATGATTTCTGATAGCATTTTATTTGTTTTGTTTGTTTTATTTACTTCTTTGAGTGCCTATTCATGACGTGGTATAACTGCCCTACAGATTTTTTCTTTTCTATTCTAGATGTTTTATAACAGCACGACAATGAATTCATAGTAAGTTTAAGCAGTTAAAGCTACTTTGAAATTGCGTATTGGTTCAATTTTGATTCCTGAAACTGCTGATACAGAGGAGTTATGTGCATTGAATCTTCTGTCTTTTAATTTTCTTCTCATAAGTTTTTTCTTCTTCTGTTCTTTTTTCTCTAGGAATCCTATTGGATATGTAGTCAGTTTATTCTATTCATCTCTCTGTTTCAGTCCAGTTTTAAATTTTTCTTTGTCTGCTATATAAAGTTGCTGAGAAACAGAGCAGTAAGATCAACACTTGCATAAGAAAAGAAATTAATTGAGAAAATAAAGATATCCAAACTTTTTGACATACTATTAGTTGCATTTTTTTTATGTACACCTCACATTTGCCTAACTATGTAAAGAAGAGATCTGTTTGTAGTACTGGACCACCAATTTGATTTTTAATATTTCTGTATTTTTAGAAGAGCTGAAAGAGAAATGACATCAACCTAAATTAGTTTATGTTAGAGTTAAAAGGGGTTCCTTTTCTTTTTTTTCTTTCTGTGTAATGCAAAACCTGACAATCTTTGGAGTCAATTGACTCCACCAACTGCTGGAATGGAACAAGAACTTTGCCTATTCGCAAATGTGTCAAAAGAAATCTTTTTTGTCTTACTATTTCTGCTACTTTTGCATAGGTATGTAGCAGTTGGTAATGAGCCTTTCCTCACATCCTACAATGGTTCATTCCTGAATGTCACGTTCCCAGCACTTCAGAACATTCAAAATGCCCTTAATGAAGCTGGAGTTGGAGATTCGATAAAGGCTACTGTGCCCTTAAATGCAGATGTTTATAACTCACCAGAGAGCAACCCTGTTCCATCTGCAGGAAGGTTCCGGAGTGATATCAGTCCACTGATGATCGCTATTGTCCAGTTCTTGGCCAAAAATAAGGCTCCTTTTACTATAAACATCTACCCTTTCCTGAGTCTATATGGCAATGATGACTTCCCATTTAACTATGCCTTCTTTGATGGGGATACCAATCCCATTGTTGACGCCACCACTGGGATTCAATACACCAATGTCTTCGATGCTAATTTTGATACCTTGGTCTCCTCCTTGAAAGCAGTGGGATTTGGGGATATGACCATTGTGGTAGGAGAGGTGGGATGGCCGACAGACGGGGACAAGAATGCCAATACAGGTAATGCTTACAGATTTTATAATGGGCTTCTACCAAAACTTGGAACCAACAGAGGCACGCCACTGCGACCTGGATATATCGAAGTTTACTTGTTTGGACTGATTGATGAGGATGCAAAGAGCATTGCTCCAGGAAGTTTTGAGCGTCATTGGGGAATTTTCAGATACGATGGACAGCCCAAATTCCTTGTCGATCTTTCTGGCCAGGGTCAAAACAAGTTACTAGTGCCTGCGAAGAATGTGCAGTATCTTTCTAAAAAGTGGTGTATGTTTAACCCAAACGCCAAAGATGTGACCAAACTGGCAGATAATATAAATTATGCTTGCACCTATGCAGATTGCACAGCACTGGAATATGGTTCTTCTTGCAACAATTTGGACGCCAACGGCAATGCTTCGTATGCATTTAATATGTACTACCAGGTTCAGAACCAGGATGATCTGTCCTGTAACTTCGAAGGTTTGGCTACGATGACAACACAGAACATTTCACAAGGGAATTGCAATTTCATCATTCAGATTGCAACTTCATCTACATTTTCTCTAAGACCCTCGTTGGTAGGCCTACTACTAATGTCACTGTCAGCTTTGATGTTGCTATAGATTTTTGTAGATAGCTCAGATGTACTCTTGTAATCCATTTTTTTCTTTTGGCTTCATGGATTCTGTGGCCTTCTGGGATTATTTTAGTTTTACTGATTAATTTAATAAAATTTCACAGGATTTTCTATTATCATATAAAAAGCTTTAACTTCTGTGTGCACGTGCCTTATATATTTTCATATCAGAATGCTATCGAATCACATCTTTGAAGAAGTATATGTGGCCTCTGTTTGTGAACTCAACTTAGTGATCCGCGAGATTGCAGGTAGATGCTTTCCTGGCCATTGCAAGGCCCTTGCAGAAACAGGTTACTGAGCAAGGCACTTTCTTAGGTTGTAACTCTAGGCTTCCGACCAAAACAAAAACTTGCAACTCTTGGCTTCACCAAATTTTTATCAATTTTAGCTTTTACCAAGTTATTAAGCCGAAATAACAAACTTTCTTATTTCTTTTGCCTTCATTGTACTCCAGTTTACGTGTGGAGTAAGGGCCTCAACCTAAGCAAAGTACCCTAAACAAAGTCCAAACTAAAATACCCCAACCTAAGCAAAGTTCAAATATTCCTTTCCAAATATAACGAAGTAAAGTATGATTCAAATTACATCTCAACCACAAACTCTATGATCTCTGAGGAATGTCATCACATACTCATACCTATGTACACCATCATTTAATGTCTTGAACACACGCAGTTTTGCTAGATCAGCAAATAAAGTGAGGAGATTTTATCTGAAATAGAAAGCCCCATCTTTTTTAGCTCATCTCCTGCAATGACCATCATCTTCTTTGTGCTCCTTTAGGCTGTGAACTAACATTTGCACTTTGGCATTATAGTACTACATCATACTCTTAAATGCATTAGCAATTGGGTTTTCACATGTAAGTCCATAAAGTATGGCGAGTTTTTAGGTCTAATGGTCCCTAAAGTTTGACTCGATTCGCATTTTGGTTCTTCAATTTCCAAAATCGTTCCCATAGTCCTTCAACTTCACTTTTTTTTTTCTTTTTTTTTTTAAGGACAAATGGTCTTGCTGTCAATTTTTTTTCTTCTCTTTTATGTTAAATGCAGGGGCACAATGGTATTTTGCATTATTTTTAATTTCCACAATTTGAATATTCCTTTCACCCAAAAAATAAAATTAAAAATTAAAAAACCTTCTTCCTATCCTTGTCATCGCAGGGAGTGTGGGTATGGTTTGGGTGGGGGGAGCGCCATCAGTTGTTGACGGAGTGGTAGGTTAATTGGCTCGGTGTCGAGTGGAGGTTGATCATGGCTTTGTTAGATTGGAGGAAGGGAGATATATCATTCTTTGATGGGTGGTGGGTTATAATGGGCTTGGCTTGGGGAGGGAGGGAGATATATGGATGGTGAGAGTTAAGTTGCAATAGTGGGGGAGTGGGTGCGCCAAGAATTGCCCATGTACCCCAGGAGTGAAGCAATTTCTGATTTTGACCCTCAACAATACACCATGTGTCATGCACATGCTCAAATTTAACAGAAAAAGTTAACAAAACTGACGGCAGGACCATTGTCCTAACGACACTAAAGTTGATGGATCACGTGAATGATTTTGGAAATTTAGGGACCGAAATGCGAATCGGGTCAAAGTTAAGGGACCATTGAACCTAAAAACCTAAAATATGGCCCAAAATATTTAAAAGCCCTACAATACTCAAACCTTAGGAAAAAGCTAATCTGGACTTTTCAAATGGACCAAATATACCATATAAGCCTTGAAAATTCTAAAAATTACAATACTACCATCAAAGTCTTTTTTTTCTTTCTAAAAATCATAATGCAAGGATAATAATCGCGAACTAGTCTCTTGTATTTTTAAATAAGCGTCAACTACAGAGGGGGTCCTTGATGGTTAGTAAGTGTAAGGTATAAAGGGCTTAAATTGACTTTTTTTATAAAACGTCACAAAACACTAAAGATGAAGATGATATCTCATAACTAAAGTTGGTTGGTTATTAGTTCAGTCTGTTATAAGTTTGTTACTCATGTAATTAGTTTGTTTTCTGTGGTTGGTTTGTAAATAGTCGAAAGGCTATATATATGTAATTGTATTAATTCTTTTGTTAATTAATGAGACATAACAGATCTCTTAATTCTTGAGAAACCTTTCTCTCTTTTCTCTTCTTCTCTCTCTCTCTCTTTTACAATACCACAGAGTTTCTACATGGTATCATTCGCCTTTTGCCTCACGGCCAATTCCATCCATTCTTCCGCTTCGTTTCTCTGATTCTTGCTGTTCTTCTTCTGCAATTATCGTTTCTGTTTGCCATGGCGTCTCCGTCAGATTCTGCATCTCCGAATTTTCCCCCAAATTCTTCGACAAACCCTAACTTGTCCAATTCGTATGCTTCTCTCACGATTCAGAATATTGGAAGCATGGTGCCGATTAAGCTCAAGCGATCTAACTATCTTCCATGGCGTGCTCTGTTTGCCCCAATTCTCAGGCGCTACAAACTTTTTGGCATTGTTGAAGGTACTGAGCCATGTCCACCGCCTTTCCTTCCAGATCGATCGGTTAATTCAGCCTTTGAGCTTTGGTATGAAAAAGATCAGAATCTGTTGATTTGGTTAAATTCTACACTCTCAGAAGATGTTATTCCTTTCACTGTTGGTGTCTCTTCTGCTCGAGATCTTTGGATCAAGCTTGAACAACGTTTTGGTGGTGTCTCTGATGCTCGCATCCATCAACTCCGGTCTCAACTCCAAGCGATTCAAAAAGGTGCTCAATCTATGGCAGATTATCTTCAACACCTCAAAGAAATTTCTGATTCTCTCTCTGCTGCTGGTGCGCCTATTTCTGATCGAGATCTCATTGCGGCTACTCTTGCTGGTTTACCTGATGAATTTGAATCATTTATTGATTCTGTAATGTTGCGCCTTTCTTCCACGTCTCTGGATGAGTTACATGGCCTTCTTCTCACCAAGGAGCTTTCAATGTCTCGTCGCAAGAAGCTCTCTTCTTCCACCACTGAGTCCTTTCAGGCGTTCTCTGCTCAGTCTCAACCGCCTCTTCTTCCAACTTCACCGCCTCAAGCATATGTTGCACAATCTCAACAATCCTTTGGTTTCCCTTCTCATCGTGGAAGAAACACCTATCGAGGTAATCACTATCATAATCCTGGCCGGTACAATAACAATCGTGGACACAGAGGCACTTATAGGGGTCCGTCTTCCAATCGTGGTCATCCACAAGGTGTTCGTCACACTTCCTTTAGCAGTAATCATGTTCCTTGTCAAATTTGTGGCTCTACTAGTCATGAAGCTATTGATTGCTATGATCGCATGAATCCTGACTTCTCTGGGAAGATTCCTCCTGCAAAACTTGCAGCCATGTGTGCACACTATACCTCCAAACCTTCTCCGTCTTGGCTACTAGATTCTGGCGCCACAACTCACATCACCAATGATATTGCCAACATCTCTTCACCAACACCGTATACTGGTGAGGACAAAGTTTATGTCGGTGATGGTAATGGTCTCTCTATACATCACATTGGCTCTTCTTCTTTGCATTCTTCTCATGCTAAATTTCATTTGAGTAATGTGCTCCATGTTCCTCAAATGAAACACAACTTGTTATCTGCTTCCCAATTTCTCAAAGATAACTATTGTGCTTTAACACTTGACTCTGATGGATCTGTTGTAAAGGATCGTACTACGGGGAGGACGCTTTTGCAGGGTCCCGTTAAAGATGGCTTTTACCCTCTGCTAGACTGTTCCTCTACTGCTCCATCTTCTAGATCCTCTTACGCTTTCGTCAGTGCTCAGGGTTCAGTCAAACTTTGGCACAGTCGGCTGGGACACCCTTCTTCATCTATCTTTCGCAAAATAATCTCTAGTACTAAGCTTGCTATTAAGGGTACATCATCTGTTGACTTCTTTTGCTCCAAGTGTGCTATTGCTAAGAATCACAAACTCCCATTTAGTTCATCCACTACATCTACCTCTCAGTCTCTTGAGCTATTACATTGTGATCTGTGGGGACCAGCTTCTGTCACTTCAGGCAGTGGTTTTCGATATTATTTTCTCATTGTCGATGACTTTAGCAAGTACAGTTGGTGTTTTCCTTTAAAGACTAAATCAGAGGTGTATTCTACTTTTGTAATCTTCAAAGCCTATGTTGAGAATATTGTTGGTAATAAAATCAAGATACTTCGTTCAGATTCTGGGGGTGAATTTACCAGTTTACAGTTTAAAGTTTTTCTACATACTCATGGTATTGTCCAACAACTCAGTTGTCCACACACACCAGAACAAAATGGTTGTGTGGAGAGGAAACATCGGCATCTTGTTGAGACAGCTCGGACCTTATTAGTTGAATCCAGTGTTCCTCATTCCTATTGGGTTGAAGCTTTTACCACTGCCATTTATCTTATCAATAGGTTGCCTATCTCAGGAAATACTAAATCACCATGGGAGTTGGTCTTTCGCAAGTCTCCTGATTATTCCACACTTAAAGTTTTTGGGTGCAGTTGCTATCCGTGGTTAAAGCCCTACATTTCATCTAAACTTAATGGGAAAAGTAAGAGATGTGTCTTCTTGGGTTACAGTTTACAACACAAAGGTTATCGGTGCTTGGATTTGGAAACTAATCGGATTTATGTCTCTCGACATGTTACATTTGATGAAGATACTTTTCCATTTAAAGATGTTTCTTCAGTTCCATCCTCTGTTGATCAGTCTCTTTCTCCATTTTCATATATTAATCTTCACTTTTCAATGCCTCCATCTCCACCCTCTGTCCCTGTGCTTCTCTCCACCCCTCTCTCATCTTCTTCCCAACCCGCTGTCCCTCCTCACTCTATTTCTCCACCAGCATCTGTGCCTACGCATCTCCCTGTCTCTTCAAATCATTCTGAGCTTTCGCCTTCCCCTGTGCCTCCTCCTGTTTCTAATGTGCATCCCATGGTTACTAGATCCAAAAATGGTATTCATAAGCCCAGAGCATTCACTGCTACCAAACATCCTCTTCCTTCCTCCACTGATTACATTCCCAATACTTATCTTCAAGCCTCTAAATTTGAAAATTGGCGACTCGCAATGCAAAATGAATTCAATGCTCTTTTATCTACTGGCACTTGGACACTTGTTCCTCCTTCACCCTCTCACAATG